GGGCGAGGGGGCGAAGGGCGAGGGGTGACCGCCTGCTTTCCTCGCCCGCAGGAGGCGGCTGGACTACGTGAACCATGCCAGGAGGTTGGCGCAGGACGACTGGGCTGGGGTGGAGAGCGAGGAAGAGGAGAAGGCAGGGGAGGATGCGGAGGAAGAGGAGATGGATGTGGATGCTGGGAAGAAGTTGCCCAAGCGCTACGGGAATCAGGTGAGGAGCTGCCTGTGTCCCCCCTGGCCGGGGGAGGAGGGTGTGCGGTGGGGGTGTGACGGTGGTGGTTGTCTTGGGGCTGAGAAGAATGTGTCCTGCCTGGCTTGGTGCTCAGAGACAACCTGTGTCTGCCTCCGAGCCATGCTGTGTTCAGATGGAAAGCAGGTGGAGATGGGCTGTGTGTGTGCTTTAGAATCATTTAGGTTGGAAAAGACCTCATTGAGTTCAACCAGTAACCCAGCACCACTGTGTTGCCCATTTTGTGTGGTTTCAACTCAGCTAGCAGCATTTCTACCCTGTTAGGCAGCAGTCAGGTAAAGATTTCAGCCTTTTTTCCCATGTTTGGGACACCAGGAAGGAAGGGAAACCTCAGCAGGTGGGTTTTATCAACCTGGGTGCTGTATCGGTCCTAAAAGACACATAGCCTCTTAGGCAATCTGTGAAGAGGTCAACTCGCCTGGGCTTTTTACTCCCAACATTTCAGAATCTCTAAGTCCTGCCGTGTATTTAAAAGTAAATAAAGTGCTGGAGTGGGGATCAGGGTGTGGGATGCCCAAGCAAGGACTGTGAACTCCATGCTGTAGGCTGAAGTTCAGCCAGCAGCTGGGAAGCAAGAGAAGGACTTGGGAAAAAGTCGGTTGAGCAGGTTGGGGTTGGTTGGCAAGAGGGAGAGGGCCCCTTTGGGGTTCACATGCAGTGCCAGCTGCCTCTGAAGCACCCAGAGGAGCTGTCAAAGCCAAAACAGCTACCTCCTTGTTTTATTCTTGAGCAGTTTGTGGTCCATAACTTCAGGAGAGTTGTTACAAACTGATTTTCTTTCCATCTTTCTCTGTAGCTGATGCTGTCAGAGTGGCTGGTGGATGTCCCCTCAGATCTGGAGCAGGAGTGGGTTGTGGTGGTGTGTCCTGTTGGGAAAAGGGCACTCATCGTGGCCTCCAGGGTAAGTGGCAGCAGAGGTGGGATCTCACCAGCTGCTGAAGGACCTGTACCTGTCTCTAGCCAACGTAAAACTGGCTTGACTGGGGTTTTTTTCTCTTCCCCTTTCTCACAGGGCACAACAGCAGCTTACACCAAGAGTGGCTTCTGTGTCAACAGGTTCCCATCCCTGCTGCCGGGGGGGAACCGGCACAACTCAACCGCTGAGAAAGGTAAAGGTTCGTGTACCTCTGGGGATAACTAGATGTGGACAATATCAGACACCTCTGAGCTGCATAAGCACATTGAATCCTAGAATGCTTTGGGTGGGAAGGGACCTTAGGGCTTATCTTGTTCCACCTCCTACCATGTCCCTGTCCCTAAAGGGCAGGGACACCTTGCACTAGCCCAGGTTGCTCCAAGCCCCATCCAACCTGGCCTTGAACACTTCCAGGGATGGAGCAGCCACAGCTTCTCTAGGACACCTCAGTCCTAGGATGCCAGTGCCTCAGCATCCTCACAGAGAACAATTTCTTCTTAACATCTAATAAACCTGACCATTTCCAGTTTAAAACCATTGCCCCTTGTCCTGTCACATCTTTTAATTAGCTGCCTGGTTCACTGACACTGTTAAACCCAACACCCTCTCTATCCTCTGACAGTGTCATCTTCCTTAATACTTCTCGTAGTTCATTTTTTGCCCTGAAAAAAAGAGGTTTGTTGTTTGACAAGTGCCATTTTCCAGAACATGCCTTTGCTTGCTGTGCCTCTGGCTGGTCCCTTTGTAGCCTCATTGGACTCTTCAAGCTCAAAGCTTTTTGTGGTCACAGTTTCTGTTAGTAGAAGGGGATCCCTCTGCACCCTCAGCCTTACATCGGGGCAGGATTAATGCTGGAGAGCTGTGTCCTGGTTTTTGCCAGGTGGGTTAGGCAGTGTCTGGAGCAGGTCTGGACCTCCCTGTGTTTGTGTGTGCAGTGTACAGCATCCTGGACTGCATCTACAACGAGGCCCAGCAGACCTACTATATCCTTGATGTGATGTGCTGGAGAGGACACCCCGTTTATGACTGCCAGGTACTGAATCCCTGCCCTCCCTGTTGTGCCCTGAGCTGCTTTGCTCCAGCACTGGATGTAACACACTCTGCAAAAGATGGATATTTCTATTAAGGACCAGCATCTTTACAGCTTCTGGGCTGCTGGAATAACTGGTACATGTTTTGTGGGGGTGTAGCAGGGTTTGGGGTGCTGGTTCTGCAGGTGAAGTTGAGTTTGTAAGTCTCCCAGGTGAGTGCAGATGAGTAGAGACACTTGGCAGGTTGCTTAACTCTCACTAACTCTCTGCCTCTTTTGACAGACTGACTTCAGATTCTTCTGGCTCTCCTCAAAGCTCCAAGAGGAGGAAGGGCTGGGAGAGAAAAGCAGGATTAATCCGGTAAGTCCTTTTGTGCTGAGGGGAGGAGGCTGGAGGGTGAACTCTCCTGTTCACAGGCTTCAGCAGTTTCTTTCACAAGCAGAAGCTTTTTTCCCTTTCTTGCTTTCCCCTTGCGGATCAGGCTTCAAAGTGTACATCTGATGAAATGGGAGGTCGGGATGTAAATAGAATCACTGAATATTGTAAATGAGTACAGTGGGGGTTTTTTCCCCCATCCAAAGTGCTGAGGGAGATCACACTGCAGGGTGTCAGCTAACTGCCATGCTGTTTTTAGCTTTCCCTTGAAATGGAATGGAAAACCAGTGTGGTTTCTGCAGGAGCAGTGTTGGTTGGCAGCCTGACTACAATGGAGTTTATTCTTGTAGTCTTGTGGGCTCATAAAGCTTTAAGCCTTTGCTTAAACTGATCATTGAAGTTGTTGGGATGGATGCTGGATTGCCAGCCAGAGTCCCTGCTCAGCCAGGATAAAAACTCTTCCTTTGAAAACTTACACATGAAGATCAGACCTAGAACCCACAGCAGCTTGGAGTATGATTTTTTGGGGACAGACGTGAGAGATTTGTCTGCTCAGACACAGCCAGGCGGAGCAGCTCCCGTGAGCTAAGCAGCTGAGTGATAAATGGGGCTGACTGCAGTGAAGGTATCCGTTTGGAGAACATCCTGTTCTGACTCCAACGGGTGTATCCAGAAGACAGCTACCTAATGAAGGGGGGGTCGTTTCAGCTTTCATTTCCTGGGTGGAAAGACAGGCTTGGCTGAGCCAGCAGCCTGGAGCAGACATCTGTCTGCTTCGCATCCTGCCCGGAGGTCATAATTTTCTATTTTGGTTAAAAGAGCGTCTCAGGGTCAGCTCTCCTGAAAAGTCTTTCCTGCAGCCTTAATGCTTGGGAAGAAAGGTATAGGAGCATGTGGGAGCTGTCCCTCACCCTTTCCCTCTCATGCTGGATCCTGCACTAGGAGAATCCTTCCTTCTTAGCTACCTCCACATCAGCGCTGGGTTCAGTGACTTGTTCTGTTTTAGGCCACACAGTTGCCTCTTCTGACCCTCTCTTACTCTTTCAGTACAAATTTGTGGGCTTGCAGAACTTCCCCTGCTCCTCGGACAGCCTGTGTGAGCTGCTGGCTACAGACTTCCCCTTCGAGGTGAGAACACACAGGTGGGGCCTGGACCTCAGCTCTGCCCGTGCTGGGAAAGAGATACCTCCCCTGCACTTGGGAATTAGCTATCCCAAGGCTGCAAAAAGGTTGCTGAGCTGTGCTGCTGTTTCCCTGGGGGGGAGATGGATGCCTTTATGCCCATGGCTGATCTGTCACCAGGTACAGGCCTCATCCAACCACACAGATGAGCAAGAGTTAAACCATGGCATTCCCTGTGTTCGGTTTGCCCTTGCTGCTGTTGGCTGGGTCTGAAAGAGCCTTTGGGGATGAGAGGGTTGATGTGAACACCCAGGCTGCCTCCACAAGCAGCACAGCTCACATTCACGTGGCAGTGTGATGGACAACTGACCATTTTAGGGCCAAAGCTGGTACTGCCACTGCCCTGGGTGGGTTTGTGGGGGTTTCCTTAGTCTGGCTCCTTCCATATTCTATGTACAATGTCTTGTGGGGAGGAAGGAGAAGGGTGGTGGTAAGATCCCGACGGTTTCTGAGGTGTTTGGGTGTTGATGGGTACCTGAAGTGTATTGGAACAGGGGACAGATGGCTGTGACAGAAATGGCTGAGCAGGACACCTGTGTTTGCTTGATCAGCTTTAAAAGTAGGTGCTATTGTGCTGTTGTGACCTGTGGGGAAGGGCAGGACAGGCCAATCCAGGTGCCACCTGGCTCAGCTCTGTATGGTTGTGTCACAGGCTCTTGTGCAATCAGCTCCAGCTGCTTTTGCCTGCCCTGGTGACTTGGCACTGCAGGGGAAGGGGATGGAGGAGGCAGTGGCATTCCAGCACAGTGACACTGGCAAACATCTGGGAGCCAGAAGCTCCTCTAGTGGCTGCAGCAGTTCCTGGGAGTGCCCAGTCTCAGCCCTGTATCAGGAACAGCCTCGGCAGAGGTTGCCCATGAAGCCAAAAGCCACGTTGGTGTGACTGTCTCTTGTGCTCTCCCATCCTGAGATAGCCATTAATGAGAGAGCAGGTTTAAATTAAGGGACGCTAATTTGGCTGTGAGGGCTGACTTTACTAATTTGGCTGTGAGGGCTGACTTTGTCTTCTGCTTGTCAATGCCAGGACAGTCATCAGAGAGAGTTGGAAAGTCCCAGCTCCACTCTGGTCTTGCCAGACCCTGCTTGGAACACAGCTTGAGAAGGCATCCCAGGTTTCCTGCAGCTGACTTGCTCAATGACAAATGCTTCGAGTGCCTGTGTAGAAACAATCATTCCTGTCTTTCCCGAGAGAAACTTCATTCCTTCCTAAGGCATCTACTCCCACGAGGAAAGGCTGAGGAGTGTTGTCCCGCTGCAGTCAGGGCAGGAAACTTTTGGGCTGTGAAGGAGGCTGAACTCTGGATCTCTGGAGGGAGAGGTGGAGCTGAGCAGACTCCAGCTGTAAAATCCAGCTGTGATTTGCCCCCAGTTTGTCTGATACATCAGGGTGTGACCCCAACAAGCGAAGTGGGGTGTAAGTTGGCTCAAAGCATCCATAACCCCCCAGAAACCATGGTGCAACTTCCAGGATGCTGGAGCTGTGGGTCTCTGTGGTGTGCCACAAGAGGGAGCCCCAAAATTCCCAAAACCAGCTTCCACCAGCAGCACAGAACGGAATAAACTTTGCAGGAAGTAAAACAGAGCCTGGCTATGGATAATGCAGGATAACAGAGGTGGTCTTAGGCCTGGGCCCAGCATCTCGTGGTCCTGACAGGGATCTCATACGTGTGGTAGCAGCAGAGGTGATCGGTCTTTCAGATCTGGGTCTTCAGAGTTAATTTGTAACCTCAGAGTTTGGGCCTGATCCACTCTATTCAGCAGAATTTGATTCCACTGAATTCAGTGGACTTTGGATCAGTTGACTGGCTCTGAATTTCAAGTGTTTTTTGGAGTGGATCTTAAGGGCTACTGCCCTACGCAGAGATATGAGTAAAACCACGCTCAGGTTTCCACGAAGGCAGGAGAGCCACAGGCTCTGAGAAACCCTGGTGGGAAGGAATGAGAGGACCGTTAAGCACCTAAAATCGTGGCTGTGGAATGTGAATTCCTGCCAGGCCAGTGTCTCCTCAGGTTTGGTTGTTCAGGGACAGTGTCAGCCCTCGTTCCAATGTGGCTGTTGTCACTGCGGTGACTCAGGGCAGGGACACAGCCCACAAATTAAATAAAACAGGAAGGAATATGGAGTCACTTAAATCAGGGAAGGCAGAACATGACCTAACTTTACCAGGCTGAACTCCTTTGAATTCTCTAGCTTGGGGAAGATCTTGAGAGCTGTCTGGAAGGCAGGAGCTTTTCCAAGCTCTGATCTTTACCAAAACATTCCTGTGGGTGCCGGAGAATCCCCGTTTTTCATCGAGTGCCACGTACCCACAGGAATGGGCTGGATGTGCTGGGGGGCTGCAGAATCTGCAGGAGGCAGGGGGAGGGAAAAGCTTTGCACTTTAGGTATCCGGAGGGTTACACAAGCTCATCATGATGTTTACTCTTCTGGTTTTATGTCTTCCTAGCGCAGGAATCCCCGTTTTTATGGGGTTGTTTTGCAAGATGTTAACAGTGACTGAAAATTATGGACAGAGTAGTTCCAGGAGCTCTTAACCTCTCTGCCAGAGGTTTAGTACCCATGGAGCAAGGATGGATATATGCTGATCTGTACTCAGCCTGAGTGTCTGTTCTGGGGGCTATAGGCTCAGGGAGGGGCCTGGGGGCGATTCATCCCAAGGTGTGCTCTTGTTCTCCTCTTCTGCCCACTCAGTCACTCTTCTTCATAGCCAAATGGCCTTTTAAGAGCTTGTGAAGCTGAGCTAAGAGGAGCACCACCTCCAGTGCCAGTCAGCCTGACAGCAGGATCCAACCTTGCAGAGCACACCCCTGGGAATTGCGGGAAGAGGGGGGTGAGAATCCCTGAGCATGACAGAGAAGTGGGGAAAACGTCAGCCAGCTGCAGAGTGTGGAAATAGTAGCACAAGAGTTAGGGCCTAAACCTTCAAAGTCCTGAGTGCCCTTAACCGTCATTGATTGCTGGAGAAGTTCTCTCCTGGGAAACATTACGAATTTATTTGGCGTAGGCTGGCTGAAAGAGCTGTTAGGAATCAGGGCTCCTTGGCGTCACGCACTTGGACTAATTACTCTCCAAATGTATTATTTAACATAACCCTCATCCAGTAAAGTGGGCTGCCTTATTCAGAAACCCACTGGCTTTTCCGCAGAATGGGATGAGAGCATCCAGAGGACACTGCTCCGTGCCGACACCAGACTGGAATTGTTTGCCTTTGACAATTTAAAGCCATCTGGGGGTTGCTGGGCTTACGCTGATCTTTCAGGGCAGGAGCTCTGCAGGTTTCTTCTTTCCCTTCCGCTATTTATTGCACTGCTTGAGGAAAAATGATCCAGCTGGTGGTTTGGCCTGCAAACAGAGAGTGAAGCCATCGTCTGGCGCCTGGTCATCCACCTGCAGGAGCCTCAGCTCTGCCCATTCATTCACTCTCTCTCCTGTCCACAGGTCGATGGGCTGCTCTTCTATCACAAGCAAACCCACTATACCCCCGGCAGCACCCCACTGGTGGGCTGGCTCCGGCCCTACATGGTGCCTGAAATCCTGGGGCTCTCCGTGCCTGACACGGTGCTCACTGCCAAACCAGACTATGCTGGGCGGCAGCTCCAGCAGATCATCGAGAGCAAGAGGAGTAAAAAACTGGCAGAAGAGAAGGGTGACCCGAGCAGCGCGGCGGCCGTGAGCAATGGACATTATGAGCTGGAACACTTGTCTACCCCTCAGCCAGAAAAGTCTCTGGAGGGCCAGGAAGGAGCAGGGAGCCAGATGGAGAGTTAGGCTGCTGGGACGGGAGAAGGAGCAGGGAAAAGGCTCCCTGCTTCTCACTGCCCCTCACGCTCCCCGAGAGGGGGCAAAGTAATGATGATAGGATGGCTTTGCTGAAAGAGCATGGTAGTGGAATATCTTGCTCCAAGTGCTGCTGAATTTTTTATTGTTTTTTGTTAGCATTATGTTTTATTTGCCAAGGCTTCTGTGAGGCCTTAACAGGATCGTCTAGTTCTTTACTAAGGCAGTTGTGCATTGGGAAGTGATCTATCCCCACGCTGCAGGGATACAGTTCAGCTCCTGACCCTGCTTCTGTTAAAGCCTTGGCAAAGCTCCAGCATAGGAACAGTGCTCGGACCTCTGAGGTGCAGCTGCTGCTCATGACCCCAGTGGCAGCCCCACCTCCCCAGCCCCGGAAACTGGGACTTCTCAGCCTTTGATCCAGCTGTTTTCCGAGGCCTTCGCAACGAAAGTTTTGTGGTCGGTCTGCTTCTACTAACAAAAAGTTTGCAGCGGGCTGCTGTAAATCCAAAGGCTGAGCTTTCCACACCCACACGTTCTTGGGAAAATCTGAATTTCCTTGCCTCGCAGCGGGCCTGCCTCGGAGCAGGGCTTTGTGCGGCGCGAGCGCGGCACAAGCCTCTCTCTCCTCGAGGCTTTTCTCAGTGGGGGGAGGAAGGAATGGTTTCGCTCTGAAAAACGCTACCATTGATCGTGCCAAATAAAAGGTTTCTCAGAAAGACAAATTCTTGAGCGTCTTCCTGCTACCTAAGGGTGGATGCGTGCTGTGCCTCCCAAATAGGGATTGAAAAATCGGTTCCAGCGCTGACTGGAGCAGAGGAAATGCTTGTGTGGGTTTGATTCTCTGATAACCGAGGTGCTTCAGTCCCTTCTTGCTGTCCCTCTCACCCCACTTTGTGAGCACCAGCCACTCCCTCTCCCTGGTTTTAGGGGGATGAAATTATTATACTCACCATCCCCTGGTTGGTTTCCAGAGGGAGATGAAAAGGATGGGGGAGATGACAGATCAGGCTAAGGATGGCGCTGGGGACTCTCCTCCCCTGGAGGAGATACCAAGAGCAGGGATGGCTGCCCACAGATAGCAGGGGCACTTGTATCCTGCCCTCACACACCCTGCTTTTCCCAGAAAAAGGCTGTTTTCTGTGCCAAGTGTGTGGGCTGTGTGTGACCATTTGGCTGTGCAGCCACTATTGATGGGAGCAGTGGGCAGCAGGGACTGGCCTGGCTGTGGGAGGGGGCTGCCCCTGACTCCTCTCCCCCAGGAGGGGAGACAGTGAGTGGTACCCTGGCTATGCAGTGGCTTTGAAACAGCTGCTTCTTTGATTATTTTCAGCGTGATTTTTTTTTTTCGCAGGTGAAGACGCAGGCCCGAGGACAAACACCTGGACTGCCTCGTCCTCCCCATCCCTCAGAGGTTCCCACTTTCAGCCTCCCTGGCTGGCAGAGACCTGCACGCAGGGAGAGCCCTGAGCAGGAGGCTGCATCCAACCTCCTGTCAGTGCAGCTTTCCTTCTGTCAGGCAATTAAACCCGGAGGTGGGCATCTGGATGGAAGATTTGTGCATCCCTCAGGGCAGAGCAAGCTGCAGCTCAGGTTACTGCCCTCCAGAAGCCTTCCAAGGTTCCCTGGCCGAGGGAAGGAGAGGAAATCCAGCCGGGAGAGGGTCTGTGTGCTCTGATGGATGGAGGAGAGTGGGAGGGAAGCGACTGCAGCTTCCCGCCGGCTCCAGATGATGCCGCATAGTTTCCCTTTTAAAAGCATGAGCTGGGCTGGAGAAATAAATATTTGCGTTACAATTCCTGTTGGGAACGAAAGGCTGTGTTTGCAGAGAGGGTGTCAAACGGAAGTCGCCGGGGCCAGCACAGTTTGGTGCTGTGACTGTTATGTTTGCTGGGTGCGATGCTGCTCCCAGCTGGAACAGGCAGCAGCTCCGCCGGAGGGGTCACCCCCCGGGGGCTGAAATTTTTGCTGGGGCAGGAGAGCTGAGCAGGCTGCTCGACCTGGAGTAGTGGCCTGGGGTTCCAGGGGACATAACCAGTTTTTTGCCCCTTCCCTCTGCCCTTCTTCCATTTTCTCCCGGTTAGGTGCAGAGGCTCTGGCTGCGGGCACACTGCCAGCATAGTGCTCCTCGGCTGAACAAAATGTCCCCTTGTCCCAGAGCTCGGCTTTTTTGGTGGGACG